GTTGCTGGGTTGTAAGGTGTTTCCGTTTTTAATATTTTGAGGACCCTCCAGACCGTTGTCCGCAGCGGGTGCTCCGTCCGCCTCCCACCGGCAGTGTAGGGGGGCCCCCTTTCTCCTCCTCCTGCCGGCACCGATGGCCTTTCTGACGGGTGAGGCGGTATCTCATTGTGGTTTTAATTTCATTTCTCTGATGATTCGTGACCTTGAGCATCTTTTCATCTGTCTGTTGGCCACCTACGTCCTCTTTGGAGAAATGCCTATTCAGGTCCTCTGCCCATGTTTAATTGGATTGTTTATCTTTTTGGTGTCGAGTTGTGTGAATTCTTTATAAATTTTGGATACTAACCCCTTATCCGATGTTTCACTGGGAAATATCTTCTCCCATTCAGCAGGTCGTCTTTTCGTTTTGTTGATGGTTTTCTATGCTGTGCAAAAACCTTTTAGTTTGATAGAGTCCCACTTGTTTATCTCTGGATGCCCTTGCCCGAGGAGACTGCGTCAGATAGTGTGCCGCCTGTTCCTCCCTGGAGCTTTATGGGCTCAGGTCTCACAGTCCAGTCTTCAGACCATTTCGGGGCTCCTCGTGTACGGGGTGTAAGAAGGTGGTCTGTTTTCATTTCGTTTCGTGTCTGTGCAGTTTTCCCAGCGTCGTTCGAAGAGGCCGCCTTTCCCCGAGGTGTGTTTGCGCCTCCCTCGTTGTAGACGAACGGACCGTGTAGATGTGGGTTTGTTCTTGGGCTGTCTGCTCTGTGCCCTCCGTCCTGGCTGCTTCTAATTCAGTGTCTTTTCAGTCTTTCTCAACCTGGGACCCACCCCCACCCCCGCTTACCTGTCGAGCAGCCTGGCCCGAGGCCCTGGGGCGTGTCCTGCACGCATCTGACTGCGTGTTCTTCGTGCCGCTCGTCACGGTCCTCTCTCCTCTGTGTCCCGAGGAGCAGCAGGGGGGCCCAGGGGCCTGGCCAGACGTGGTGCCACCTGGGGCAGCGCGGCGGAGGGCCGCCACGGGTCCGCGTGGGCGGAGGCGCGTGCTGCCTTCACGGGGCGGGGAGGGCGGAGCAGCAGGAGTCGAGCTCCGTCGTTCTTGATTCCTGCAGACCGCGAAGGGCCGCTTTCTCCGGCCGCTCGTCATCACCCTGTGGCACCGCCCGTGGGAACGTGGTGCAAACGCTTCACGCTTTCACTTTATGGATCGGCTTTCAGGCCAGAGGCGGTTCCCTGGCTTCCCACGGAGTGGCCTGTGACGTCTTCTGTCCAGGGTCCTCGGAAACGCATCCTTAAGCGCGGCGCTGGGTCCTGGTCCCCTGCGACTGTGTCCTCATGGAGGCCTGGACTGGCCCGCCTCTCCCCGGGGGGCTTCGCCACACCCCGTCCCTGTCTCAGTCGTGACCCGGACCCCTCCTCATGCCAGGTCCCCGCGCGTCCCCGCGCTGTGCAGGCTGCAGGCTGCAGGGTCCCCTGTCTCTCAAGTGCACAGTGAACGTGGGTCTTCGGTTTTGCTCTCAGGTTGCTCTGGTTTTTCACGTCGAGATTTACAGGGGTTCGAAATCTAGGGCCGCGTGTTCGTTTTAATAGTATCCGCACGTCTACGGATTTGTCACCTGGAAAGGAAGCTGGAACCTTGGCGATGATTGGGTCCTACGTAGCCCACCTCATGTCACCTGCCCCCCCGTCTCAGGTGACCGCTGCTTGCATTGGGGACGTCTTTCATTGATATAGCTATGGCCAGATGTTGGTGATACTTATAGATTACATAACGTTTACAAGGACATAATACTCGTAAGTCACAAGCACTTACGTCAGTTAGGTTTATAAATGACACTGGACCTATTACACGTGAGCCCCTTTCCTCTCTGCTCCGAAAAGCCACTGGTTGGTTTCAGTTGTATTCGAGGGACTGAGGTTTCACACTCAGCGTGACTCGGCTAAGATGTCCCCGTATCCGTGCAGGGAGCTCTGCAGGGCGACTGGTGAGGACACTCGGGCACCGGTGCCAGCCTTCCATGTCACCGTGCAGGAGCTTTAGCTCCTGAGGCCACCGCTGCCCAGAGACCGGGCCCCTCCCGGCCCCGTCGGCGGGTTTTCCAGAGTAAGGCGGAGAGGAGTGGCTGCCTCCCACGCACGGGGGGGAAGGGGGTGCCGTTTGCTCTGACGTCGGGCACCCCACCCCGGTTCCCGCTCCCACTATCTCTCCAGAAAGCGGCAGCTGACTCCCCCCATCACACGTGAGTTAGGACGGGACTGAGGGAGCCTAGATCTTGGGTGGGGGTCTGGGGCTCAGAGGCGTCCAGACAGGTCGGGGAGGGGGGTGGGGCCCTGAGGAGCACGGAGGCCCCCCAGGCCTCGGGCTGCACTCTGAAATGTGGACTTTGGCTTAAAACTTACTTTCAGCCCTAAAATTTGATGACTGCGTTGGCAGCAAAGAATTTCATGCCCCGAGCATGTGGAGCTTGATCCCAGGGCATCGGACGAAGCGGGGGGAGGGGGGGGGCGGCCAGGTGCGGGGCCGTGTCTCTGCCCCGGCCCGTTTGGTGGTGGTCCTGACGTCCCACAGGGCAGGTGTTCCCACACCCGTGGGCACCCCCGCGGCCCCAGTGCCCGTCCGTGCACGTGGCTCCGGCCTGGGCGGTCTGTGTCTC